TGGCATGGTTAAACTTCATGAGGTTGGCATCAGCCCACCTCACAAGAGTGTCAAGGTCCCTCTGGATGGCATTCCTTCCCTCCAGCGTATCAACCGAACCACACAGCTCGGTGTCATCGGCAAACTTGCTGAGGGCGCACTCAATCCCACTGTCCGTGTCATTGACAATGATGTTAAACAAGACTGGTCCCAACACTGATCCCTGAGGGACACCACTCGTTACTGGTCTGCAGCCGGACATTGAGCCATTGACCACAACTCTTTGCATGCAGCCATCCAGCCAGTTCTTTATCCACAGAGTGGTCCATCCATCAAATTGATGTCTCTCCAATTTAGAGACAAGGATGTTGTGTGGGACAGTGTCGAACGCTTTACACAAGTCCAGGTAGATAACATCAACTGCTCTACCCCTGTCCATCGGTTCTGTAGCCCCATCATAAAAGGCCACCAAATTGGTCAGGCAGGATTTCCCCTTAGTGAAGCCATGCTGGCTGTCACCAAGCACCTTGTTGTTTTTCATGTGCCTCAGCATGCCATCCAGGAGAATCTGCTCCAAGATTTTGGCAGGCCCAGAGGTGAGACTGACTGGTCTGTAATTCCTTGGATCATCCATTTTCCCCTTCTTGAAAATGGGGGTTATATTTCCAGTCATCGGGAGCTTCACCTCACTGCCATGATTTCTCAAATATGATGGCCAGCAGCTTCACAACTTCATTTGCCAGCTCCTTCAGGACCCGCGAATGGATCTCATCAGGACCTGTGGGCTTGTTCACGTTCAGATTTTTAAGATGGTCTCCAACCAGATCCTCTCCTACAGTGGTCCCAAGGTCTTCATTCTCACAGACCCTGCATCTGCCTTCCAAGACTTGGGTGGTTTGGTTAGAGCTTTTGCCAGTGAAGACCGAGGCAAAGAAGTCATTCAGAACCTCAGCCTTCTCCAAATCCTGTGTAGCCAGTTCTCCTGAGAGCTTCCTGAGGGGGCCTACATTCTCCCTAGTCTGTTTTTTATTTGCTATGTACTTTTAGAATCCCTTCCTGTTATCTTTAATACCTCTAGCTAAGTTTAATTCTAACTGGGCCTTAGCTTTCCTAACCTAGTCCCTAGCTTCCCTTTGTTTAAGAAGACATGAACTTTATTGACTTCATGACCCAGGTGTCTGTGCACATCCACAGTGGCTCCTGAGCTCTCCTGCCCAGTTATTTGTTTTTAGTGAAATAAGATTGAGTCTAACTGTGGAAGTTTAGCAAAACAGAGATACTCATATCCTGCTTGTGATATCTATTACTTAGAAGCAGGAAGAAATATTTTAAAAGCAGGAAGAAATAATTTATTTTCAAAAGATTATGATTTAACATTCATTTATCTTCTCCTAACCTTTCTAAGCAGGTATCAGTTCCCAGAGATGGTTTGGCATTTCATCATCCCACTGACAATGCCATGGAGAGTCCTTAATGTTAAATGATTTAAATGTGTTCTGCACCTTAAATATGTTTTCCTGTGCACTGTAAAAATGATCCCTTTCATTTGGCATTGGTACTCTGCCAATGAGTGTCAGTGGCAGCTATACCCTGCTTTGATATTTTACTGTAAACACAGTGCTAGGAGTACCATGCGAGTGCAAGTGAAAGGTTGTGTACTGGATTTTGCAGTGTACACCAGTTTGAAATATGAGGAACAGAGCCCTGCAGGCAAGGTATAGACAGAATTACATCTTGCTAATCAGCCTTAGGAAAAAACAATTATCTTATTGGCCTGAAAAGCTTGTACCTTTGCCAACATCTGTTTTAAACTGAGCTGATGAAATGAATGTGGTGTGCCAAAGATACTACTTGCTGAGAAGTATGCCCTCTTTCCCTTTTAAAAATCATACCATGCTATGCAACTGGAAGTCAACTTTATCATCAAATCAATCTTTTTTTCTACTTAAATCAACGACTTATAGTATGAATTGGGAATGGATTGCATGAATATAATTCATTGCTAATTTCTACTGTGGACATGACAACTGTTTTGCCTTAAAAAGAGGATGGAAACATGCTTCATTTGTGTGTACTCCACTTTCATTTCATATTCCTGCTGTTTGCTTAGGAAGTCTTATGTGTGAAAATAAAAGTGAGTGGTGCCAAATCAGGGCAATTCATCAAATACATGGAACGGAGGCAAACTGGATTCCACCTGACCAGGTTTACTTAGTTGAAAATCAGTCCAAGAAACTGCAAAGTCTTCTCAACAATAACAAAAAATGTTTTTCTCCTCCCCGTGAAGTCCATAGAGGAGTAGAAGAAATCTTGTGGCAGAGATGAATATTCCCGTTCTTTCAGTCACACAAAAGGTTTCTTTCGATTATAACTGCAGTAATTGCATGTATTGAAGTCTAGCAGGGAAATGGTACACACTGTATTTATCTTTATATGGGAAACTTTACATTGCCAGCCTATGCAGTGTCAGTTCATATCATTCTTTGTGAAACGTAATGATGGAAATGGGGCATGTGGATCATGATTTGTGGGTTCAGTATACCATAAACTATTCTGGTTTCAGCTAGCAAAGTAGGTCTGATTTGATTTAACAGTTCACAAAGGACACATGTGCTTGGGTGACAAACTACCTTGTTTTCAGTTAGTGTAGATTGACTTGTTAGAAAATATACACAGCCTCAATTTACATCATTAGCTTAACACAGAATATTACAAAGCGGTGCTGTTTTATGCTGAGACAAGTGCCTAATTAATTTATTTTATCTGCATTAGTTTCAAGATATAGCATTTTCACAGTGATTTCTGCTGCAAGTCAGAATATGTACATGTGCTTTTCAGTACAAGTCCCACTTTTTTTGGTTTGGGTTGCTTTTTTTTTCTTATAAATCCCAGTGTCTGAGAAAATATGGTTTCACTGCTAGAGGAAGAGGACTTTTTTTTCCTCCTTTCTCTTTCTTGAAATTTAAGTTTCTGCATCAGAATACCTTCCTCAATAAAATTGCATAGAACAGATGTTTTCAAACACATTATTGCTGAGGCACAGTGTGTGCACAATGCCAGCAGTTTGGGCAATTCAAGAATTACAATTTTTTTGAATGATCCTTATGTGGCTGCATCCAGTCTGTTTTCAGACAGCAGTGACTGCATAGCTAGATACTCCATTTATGCATAATATGGGCTTGGTAGGGTTTTTATGGGTTACTAGGGAGTAACAACATTCTTTTGTCTCTCAGGCTCTGGAAGGAAAAATGCTGGAATTAGTTTTTCTTTCTGCTGTACATTAAAATAAAGTTTGTTATGAACATAGAATCATAGAATAGCTAGGGTTGGAAAGAACCTTCAGATCATCTACTTCCATCAAAGCTTGAGACCCCACGTACTGGAAGTGTTAGGTAATGCATGCTGTTCGCTACCCTGGATTTCAGAAAGTAATTCAGTCTAGTACAGTTATCACATTTTGGGTTGTTTTGTTTACAACAGTAAGAATGTTCTCAGTCCTCAGGAAATTTCTGTCATTTAAACAGTTGTAAATTATTAAAGCGAAGCACATTTTCCTCTTGTTTCCAGTAGAAGTTGTATATCGAGGATTTCATTGATAAATATTTTCCCAATAATTTCTTAGAGTTACTTACTGTATTACACGTTCAGGCTTTCTTTGGCCTAAACCATTAATCTAGAATCTCGTACGCATTGATTATTGCAATCAGGAAACAATTTTTTATTTTTTTTTTAAGATAAAGTAGTTTAAAAATGGTGCTAGAAGTTCCTAATAAAGTGCATAAATTGCCCAACAACTTTTTTGCAGGCACTGCTCCTAAATACATTTAATTCCTATAAATGCCAAGTGAGCTTATGTGTACACATGTCAGGGTAAATTGGTCAGTCACAATCTGCTTGCTGTGCTTTTCCAAGAGAACATAGCTACTGCATGCCTCTGCCATCCCACTTGTGCAATGATGGGAAGAAAGACAATCTGAGGGTTGCATATGCTATCACGGCGAGCTAATTGGGAACTGGTGGACTGCTCCTAGCAATGTGCTCACATCCCTGTCTTGCATGACAGAACGCTACCTACAGAAGGGGGTTTTGGCTATGAATGTCTGAGAATTAGCCTTACACCTTGGTAATGCAGTAGCAATCCTAACTGATCTTGTGGCCATACTTTATCAGAGCTAACTACTCTTAGTTCTGGCTACAGATTTACAAATGAATCTCTGGGTATAACTCCTCAAAGTTACTAAACACATATGTTCTGTTAAGAACATGGAATTTCCAAAGCTGGGACAAAGTACTTCAAAGACAAAACTGTGAATTCTGGTCCCAGTGCAAGTTGGAGAGGGATCATTCTGGTGCCATCAGTGCTACTGGTCTGCCTTCCCACTCTCTCTTCAGATGGGAGTCAGCCAGTGAAGCCCTTATTTACGCCTTACAAGGCCAAGCAGGAATACTTCCAGTTCTCTTTCTTTAAAACAGCTAATTTTTTGGGGAAAAAAAAAATGTATGAAAGAATTAACACTAAGATGGACAAAATTAGGTCTATTATTTTTTGTGATCAAGAAAGAAAATCTTATTTTTAAAATGGTATAATCTAAAAAGCATTCTGCAGATTTCTAAATATTGTTCTTATGTACAATCTCAGAAGAAATGCTTACACTGAAGATGCAAGCTTCTGAGACCATAGGTTCATTAAAAAATACTAATTCCTATTAAATTCCTATTTAATTCCTATTTTATTGCAATATGCCTGTCTTAAATTAAAAGAGTTTCTCATAAGTGTTCAAGACTTTCATCTTCAGATCTCATTTTACATCTTTACAAAACTGTGGAAAGCAAAATCTCCATAATGTAATGCTAAGTTTTCTGGTGTTGCTTTTCATATATATATATATATGTATATATATATGACTAAAATTTGATGTTGATGATAATGTGATATTTGGTATCAGGTTTGGTTTTGAATTTTCAGATTTTTTTAATATTAAATTAGTGTTAAAGATTATTTTTCACTGTTTTAATTTCAGATTTGGATTCTCTAACAGGGCATGCATTTCCAGGTAAAGTGGACAGTTAGATTAGATTATGTTCTGTGTTTGGTCTGGGTTATATTGAATTTATTGAGTTTTCCTTTGTGGGGGGTAAAACTTAATTGGTGTGCTTCTGACAGCATTTTGTTACATGTCAAAATTATACTATTAGAATTTTTTTAAAAATTCAGATAGATGAAGAAGTAGCTACTACATGCACTAGTTTGAAGAATAGAACTGAAAGTCTGCTTTAAATGTTAACTGTGGTATCTTTAATATTAAACAATTCAAAGCAGGGAGAAGCATTAATCCAAAATACCAAATCCTAATGAAAATAATTGAAGTTAATTCAAGCTTGTACATGACTCTGTAAGGAAGAAAAAGAACCACCTCTTAAGGGAAGCAAAGACACAAGAAATACAAGACTGAATTTCTAGTTCTTTTACTAGAAATGTATAGGAAACAGGTTTTGAACAGCAAGAACATAATTTCAGTAGAGAATTAAAAAAGGATGAGAACACAATTATGTTAATTTGCCTGTATGCATCCATTTCTATGCTGTGTGGAAATTAAAAATTATTCACTCAATTAAAAATTTTAGAATCTTACAACTATAATTGTTTAATAATTCAAACATTTGGGGTTGGGATTTTTTTCACAGAAATATAACAGTGGAAAAATTGATGCTCAGTGATCACGTGAACTTCTGTGTTACTTGAGTAAAACTTTTGGCACAGGAGGAATATAAGTGAGCATTCCATAAGATAAGGTAAATCTCTGCTGCAAATGTGCAGATGCTTCCTCTACTCAAAATTCTCTTGCATAATCCTCCAAATGAATAGGTTGTGAAAGCTAAGGAATATTTTTTGTACCCTAGATTCAGTCAAAATTTGTGATTGTATATATCATTAGAACAATATTAGTCTTCATTATGTAGCTGGCTTCTAAAGTGTCTATTTCATAATATAATATTCCGCCTTCAGTTTTTGTTTTAAAAAGTATTCTTTAAAATCTATGGGAGAGTAGATTTATTTTTTTGTGGTTTCCCAAGCATTCCTTCACTGTGGCATTAGGTGTGCTGCAGGAATCTCAGTAGAACAAATGATCAAAAAACTATTAGGAGTTTATTATCATGAAATTTGTGTGCAGTGTGGAGCAGATCCAGATACAGAGTCTGTCAGAGCTATTTGTACTCAAATACAGCAGCAAACAAGTGATGTCTATGTGAGATGTCAGAAGACTGTAAGTGCAGATTTTGCCATTTTCATCCCAGATGAGGAGACTATGCGTAGTCTGGTTTTCTTTGAGTAAGGATACTCATGGTACTGCTTTATAGGTCCATCTTGTAAACATGATCTTCAGAATTGCTGTCATATATATGCATGTATCAACAAGATAGACATTGAGACAAGCAGTATCAGTGTATTTTTTTTTTCTTTTTAAAAATTGAGTCTTCTTTTGTTTTTACACAAATATTTTGTGTTACTAGATAGTGCTGTCATGGCATGTCCCATTCTTACTCTGAAATATGACAATCTTAACATAATGAGAATGGCCTATACTGACAACAGAGCCTTATGTTAATATGTATGCTCCAAATTATGGTAAAGGGAAATCATCCTTATTGTGTATGGAAAATGTCCTGAATTGCTAGACAGGTAAATTATATGCCTGCATTACCTTCCAGGTGTAGCTGTACACAAATGGCCTGTTATGTAGCACAGATGTAAGAGAAGAGTATAGGTAGCTGAGAAAAATAAAAGCCTGGAAACAGGGACTTGACTTACATAGATCTTTATTTGGAGACTCACTGTATAGCCATGCCACTGGACAGCTCACAGAGCTCTAGTGAAAACAGTTCCCATTTCATGATTTGCCAGGGTGGAGACATACACTTTTCACACACAACTGTAAAAGCAGCAGAATGTCCTGTCTTGCTTTACTCACTTGCATTTAATAATTAAGTCATGACACTATTCTGCTAAAATATTGTAGACTGTATATTTAATTACAAATGTAGCTGTATTAAACATTGAAAGGGATGCTTATGTATCTGGTTATACTGGAAAACACTGAACACTAAATCCGTCCTGCTATCTGTGTGTAAACATGGTCATTCTATTTAACTCTAGTAACTCTATATGAACTTCAAGAGACAGTAAAAATCAAATGCTTCTTCAATAGCAATTACTTAATTAGATGAGATACGTCCAGATGATCTTAGTGTATTAACAGGTGGTTTGGATCTCACACTGAACAAACACAAAGCAAACTCAATTGAGATTTACAGTTATCTCACCTTGGGAAAAGCACTCTGTCTGAGCTAATCCAGCAAGATTCATTAACAAGACCGCTAACGTACGGTGATCCAATAGTTTTTCACATGACCCTTGACCGAAAGCAAAGCATGAAACAACTCCTTTCCAAAAGTCACGTAACTGTGCTGGTGCAATGCTGAGTGGGTGCTAACCCCAGACAGAAAGCTAAACTTCTGACCTAATCACACATTTCCCAGGTGTTTTGCATCCAGATGGCTTCAGATTCATGTGAGCTCAATTAGGATGTAACTGCTTGGTGAATTTCAGGTGAAGTACTTTCCCTATAACCACTGGCCACTGTATCAGCTTCCCCTGTGTTTTCTGTACATGTGGGCAATCTCTGCTACTTCAGAGACAGATCAGAATATAAACCACACCAAAGTATCTGTCTGTTTTTTATGTGAAAGGAAAAATAAATTTTTTATAACCCTTGCAGTTGATCAGCTGAAACCCTAAAGTATGAGATTTGATTATAGTCATTGTCTTAATGCAGAGCTGCAAGTGTTATGGGCATGTTGAGAACTTCCAGAACCTGGATTAAAGCATCTCTTTTACAATGATATCTAATCTCGTCCTAAAGCTCCAAGCGATGGCGAGTCCACCAGCTCCCCTGGTAAGCTGTTCCAATATTTAATTACCCTTAGTGCTAGGAAATTGCAATGTTGTGGAAAGGTTGAATTTGTCTAATTTCAGCTGCCAGTCTTCCTTTTGCTATGCCTTTGTCGCTAAGACTGAAAAGTCTCCCTTTTTCAGATATGTTTTCCGAACAAGTGTCTATGAAATACTGATTTGCAGTGTCGTGGAAAAGGATCCACATAGAAGTCTGTGTTCCTTTTCTGGCTGTGCTACCTGGCTTAATGAAGTTATTGCCTTGATCTGCAAACCTTGATCCTCCATATCTTTAGATTATCACAATTTTAACACCCTTATGACTACTAAACAATTATAGTTAGTAGTCAAGACATCTCTCAACTTTCTTTCTGGTAAATTGGGTATGTTGTACTCTTTAAGGCTCACACTGTAAGACTGGTTTTCTGACAGCTGTCCGAAGAACTCTCCATTTTTCTCAAAAAACTATAAAGAATATGTTCATGTAGAAATTTTGTAAATGCTGTATATAGAAGAAAAGTAAATTCTTATTTGTCCATAACACTTCCTTTCTCACTCTTCCTTTTTAGGCATTTAACTACAGTGCACAACTGCCAGCTCAGGTTGCAGTGTCCGTGTCAAGCAATCCAAGTGGTGATCCCAAAATTTACCTAATAGAATAGGAATGAATGGTTTTCCTCTAGTTTGATGGGGTCAACATGAGATAAGAGGAGGAAGGGAATGCCTCTTTTGGAGCACAGCAAATCTAGCCTCTTCCAATCTAGTTATACCTCGGTGGGCACCTAGATTTGGGTGATCATTATTCCAAAGAGAAAGGAGGATTAGCTAGCATATATGTCTCTAGGGAGCAGGATGAAAAAAGGGATAAAGTCTTCAAAGTCTGTAAAGATATAACATTTTTCCTGACTTTCAGGAGCCTGCTAAACAGAAAATGTGGTGCTGGTAGTCCCTGTAACTGAAGGCTTTTTCTCAGTCTTCTTAAGCAAGTTACCCTTATTTCCTTAGATAATTACATTCCTTCATAATCCCACCCATGCCTTCACGGTAGAACCTTGAGAGATCTGGGTTCCAGAATTATGTTTTTCTATCTAACATGTAAGTGTGCCACAAAACTGGCCAGATTATAATGCATTTAAAGCGTTCCTTGGGCCTTTGTCTCACAGAATAGAATCTTCCATGGTGTAGGTCTTTATTCCCAGATGTTCCCAGTCTTCTATTTATTTGCTTTATAACACATTTTGGTGGCAGTAACTTGTCCAAGCTGTTGCAGTACTTTGTCCAAATAAATTATTTGCTTTCTTTATAATTTTTTTTTCCCTCAGTAGTGAGGAAAAGATGGTGTTTTGGACTCTAGCTTTTACTTGAAGAATAAGTTATGTATTTTATATAACAGACTTAATAGTAAGACTTTGGATAGATGCGTAAAACTGCATTGTGTATAAAGGCCAAACTGAGGGATCCCTGGCTCCTGGGGGTATGTCCTTAGGAATACACTGCGTATGAATTGTGTCTGCAGCAGCATAGCTCTTGCATTCATTGCATTCCTGTGCAATGGCCCAGATATAGAGAATGGCTCTCTCACAAGTCCCTTTGTAGACAGAGAAAATACTAGTTGGGGTTTTCTTTAGATATGAGCTCATGCCTTGGAATTGCAAAGGCACCAAGGTATTTATTGCTACACTGAGTTATGCCCATTCAACTGCATATCTAATAGCTGTTGTATGGTTTTCTTTCCAATGGCTGTGAAGCGTGCATGTGAACTCTTGTTCTGATTGCATATGTACTAATTAGCTGCTGTCTGAGTTAGGACTCTACAGTAGATAATCCAAATGCACCTTGTGCCTCTGTTGAATTTACTTCTAATTCAGCCTTGGCACAGAGTGTTTTCTTCTTTCTTTACTAGTACCCCAAGGTATCCAAACTTTTCAGTAAGATTTACAGACTTTGTTTTTCATTTTGTTAATGATGAATTCTATTTTGTCCAACTCTTCTAAATAAGCTGGGGTTTTACAGAATACCTCAGGGACAAATCTGTGGCTGATTATTTATTCTAACTGTTCTTCATTGTGGAAGATGTAATGCTAGATTTCAACTTCAAAATGC